TGGACCCCTGGGTTGATTCCATATTCTAGCTATTGTGATAAGTGCTGCAGTGAATAACTGTGCATATATGTCTTTATGAATGGATGCTTTTGTGTGTTGGGGCTAGATATCAAGAAGTGGAGTTGCTGGGTTGCATTTTCTTTTTAGAGAAATCTCCATCCTGTTTTCCATCTGGGTTGAGCCAGACACAACATTCCCACCAGCAGTGGATGAAAGTTCCTTTTTCACCACATCTTCACCAATACAAGGTTTTGATACATTGTAGCACCTATCAGAAGGTTCTAGTCTCATCAGTGTCTACACAACAAAATAAAGCTCTCTACAACTGTCCTTGTCTTTCCTTCTCTCACAATGTATCTGTCTCTCTAAGAGGGCCCTACTTTCCTAGCTCTGGGTCTGTGTCTGTGTCCCCATCCCCTCTGTTTCATGAATCTGGAAAGCTCTGACAAATCTTTCACCATCTTCATCACCTACCTTGAGTCAAAGATCACTGTTCCCAAGAAGTCCTCATTGGTCCTCTCAAACAGAAATGTGATCCCTCTTCTGATCTTTGTAGCACTTAAAAAATACTTTTCTTGGACTCTTATCCCTTGTTTTAAATGAAAGTATAATTTATAGTGTATAAATATTAAGCTTGATGATTTTGGGCATCTATCTATCTAAATATATATTACCCTTCATCCTCTATACAGATGTGAGATATGAAACATTTCCGAGGCCTGAGAGATAATACAGGAATTAAGATGTTTATCTTGCATGTGCCAAAAAACAAACTTAGTTTATTAATAAAATATTCCCAGAATATTAAGAATATTAATATTAAGAATCTAGGTTCTTAATCCCCCATTCCTGGGAAAATCCATTTTGGAAGGTAATTTCTATTCTGGCTGATCATAGATCAGTTTTTGTTCTCAAACTCCACTTTAATGGAATCTGTGCTAACCACTCTTTTCTAGTTTCTTTCACCCATAGAGTGCCTTTGAGATTCACCCAGGTCATAAATATCAAGTGTATGTTCCTTTTTTCCATAGCAGGATTCCACTGTATATCCATGCCACAATTTATTTCACTATTCTATTATTAGTGGACATTTTCCAGAGTTGGATTATGACAAAGAGGCCATTTTGTCCATGTCTTTTATTGGATATGAGTAATCATTTTTTCTCTCAGGAATAGAATGACTGATTGACAGGAAATTTAAATGTTGAATTTTGAGATACTAGCAAACATTTTTCAAAGTGTTGTCATTCCAATTCGTTCCCAAATAGCAACCCAAGAAAGTTCCAGTTGCTTTTCATACTTGCCAACATTTGTCATAGTCATCAGCATTCTTAATCCCTTCCAGGATTCATGTCCTCATTTCCATAACGAATTACAACCACAAACAACAGCTTTATATAGTAATATAACTTTGTATAATATAATATAATATCCATATATAACATATAACTTTATATAATAATATAATGATGCCTATTCCCTAGTTCTATAAAGCAAGCAAGGACAGTCCATTAGTCCATTATCCTTAGTTTACAGATGAGGAAATTAAGGCTCAGAGTGGTCAAGCTGCTTCCCCATGACCACAATACAAGTAGAGAGAAAAGACACTGACCCCAATGTTCCTGGTTTACTCCATTATTTGGGTAGATGCTTGATCTCCATTAGTTTATTAATAGTTGAGACTAACATTCAATTCTAACATTATTATTTAGTGAAGAAATGGAATTTGATATAAAAGTTATATTTCTCAGGGGTCTTTGTGGGTGCTCAGGGCTTACTCTTGATTCTCTGCTCCAGAATCACTCTGGGTGGTGCTCAGGGAGCCAAATGTGGTATCAGAGATCAAGTTGCCTGGTCCGTATTTGCCTGGCTTGTATTTCTCAATTTATGCATAAAATTTTAGAATAATTGGATGCAATAATAGCAAAAAATAAGAGGCATTATGAATAATGCTATCTGAATCAGAAGACATTTCATACATATAGATCCACAAATATCCAAACATTTCATTCTGTGTTTTGAAATAAAGGATTCTGAAGAAAATCTAATCCTTTCTTTGAAGGATTATTTTAGCTATTATTAAGAAGATCCAAATGTACAAAAACATTGGTTCCTAAACCAACAGGATTTCATTTATATACAGTTTTGCACACAGAGATAACAAACTTGTCATCTCTACATGTGTTGCTTTCTCCTGCACAGCTCACAAATATGCCAGGGAACATTTTTTAAAAACAATAACAAAATAAATATCAACATAACTGTATGTATATAGAAGTCCTATACCCATAAGTTTATTAAAAGGTTATTTGATGTCCTTTTATCATTGTCTCTTGGGATAGAGCAAAATCATTCAAAGATACTTATGAATCGTTGACAAGTCAGAGGATATCCATATTATCAAGCATGTGTTTCAGAAAATACATGGGAAAGAGAGTAATACAATTGTTTTTCATGCTATCTGGGGCTGGAGCGATAGCACAGCTGGTAGAGCATTTGCCTTACACGTGGCCGACCCAGGTTTAATTCCCAGCATCCATATTAGTCCCCTGAGCACCACCAGGAATGATTCCTGAGTGCAGAGCTAGGAGTGATCCCTGAGCATTGCCGGGTGTGACCCAAAAATCAAAAAAGAATAACAAAAACAACAACAACAAAAAAACCCAATTGCTGGGGCTATAGTGCTGCCAGCAGGTCAATCTGTACCTGTGAGGTGAGTGCATCAGTAGCCTAATGGAGCCTTCAGACTTCCAGATACCCCAAAATTGCTGCTGTGCCTTTGGCCAGACCCCAAAAATTTGGGGCAAAGTTTACCAAGAAAGTAAATGGCTAAAAGTTAGGCATGTGGGAAACACACCCAAAAACCACCTCCGGCTCAGCTATATAATTGGAGGCATGGCCTCTCTGGTTCCTGATTGAACTGTTTAATGACCATGATCCTAGAGACTCAGAAACAAATCTTGAAACCCAGTGGCTTTTGGCAGAAATGCATCTGGTCCCTGCAGTGGGTTACCGGTGCTGGGCCACCCAAGGTGGGAATAGGTTTCGTGCCTTGGCCTGTTCCCCCCAGCGGCCCAGTGGCCACCATCCTTCAGAGGCCACTGGACAGTCAGGTTTGGGCCCCCAGTGACGAGACACACAGGGCCTCATGGGACGGGGGTGGAGCCGGGCCTGTCCTCCCCATCCCAACGAAACCCCAAGTCATCGCCCACGAATGGCCTTTCTGGCTCCTGATCAAGCTGCTTAATGGTCATGATCCCAGAGACTCAGATACAAATCTTGAAACCCAGTGGCTTTTGGCAGAAATGCGTCTGGACCCCACAGTACGTTACTGTCGCCAGGACACCCCAGGGAGGAAAGGGTGTTGTCACTCCGCCTGCTCCCCCTTGGCGGCTCGGTGGCCATCATTCTCCAGAGGCCATTGGACAGTCAGGCTTGGGCCCGCAGTGACAAGATATTTTGGGTCTCACGAGATGGGGGAGGAGCCAGGCCTGTCCTCCCCACCCCAACGAGACCCCAAGTCATCACCCACGAACGGCCTCTCTGGCTCCTCATCAAGCTGCTTAACGGCCACGATCCCAGAGACTCAGAAACAAATCTAGAAGCCCAGCAGCTTTTGACAAAATTCCCTCCAGATTTAAGTGTTAAAATTTCGGAATTTCAAAATCACATGGCCTTACTGCAGTCACACGACATCATATGTTATTCATAACCAGCAATAGAACACAAATTGTCTACTGTTGCCTTTTCAGCAGATCTCAGTGTTGGGGTAAATCTCAAATAATAATGGTGGGTCTGGTGTCAAAATATTGAATGTGATCAAAGTAGAGAGAGAGTAATGTGCCCCACAGACAGGGAGGGAGTGGGATGGGGGTTTTTGGTGGTGGAGAATGGGCACTGGTGAAGGTACGGGTGTTTCATAGTATGACCGAGACTTAGACCCGAAAGCTTTTTAACTGCTCTCACGGTGATTCAATAAATAAAATTATAAAGAAAATGAAAAAAAAAGTAAGGTGGAGTTCGTTCACGCACACTTCATTCAGCTAATCAGTGGCTGAATAAATAGCAGTACTCCTACATAAAAAAAAAAAAACCAATTGCTTTTTATGCTATCAGATGGCACATTTTAAAGCTATTTCACATCAGTGAGTATCCCAAAGTTTGGTCGTACAAATTTTCACTGTTGCTCATAAGAAACATTGCCACATGTTCTATTTACTCCAGTGTGAGGTTAACAAGAGTGCCTCAATGTATACCTACTTCTATCTGTCCATGTACATTCATCCTTAAATGCATTCATATCATTTTATGAGTTCATGAAATATTTAATATCTATAATTTCTTATTCTCAATGTGTAGAAAACTAATAAAAACTTTTAGAGTGCATTCTTGAGGCAGAGATGGTAAATGCAGATTATAGACCACTGAACTTCTGAAACATACATTGACCTTCTTTATCACATATTTCATGTCAAAACTGACATTTGGGCAGAACACTCGTCTCTGAGGTCAAGGAATATCTTCTGCTTCAATTACTCAATTTATCTTAGGATTGAGCACGGTTAAATGTGCACTGACACTTTCCAAGGTAACCACACGATTCATGAGTAGCAAGCTGTCATATTTATAGCTCAAGCCTGCTGTGAAATATAATACATTCGCTGCATACTAAAGGTACCTGAGAATCAGTTGTGATTTGCAGGATTTGATCAAATATAGGAAAATGTGTTTATACAAGTTTCTGTCTTATATTGAAGGTCAACTGGATTTCTAGACCAAAAGCAACAAAAAGCTAGTCGCACAAACTAAATACTTATCCATCTGTCTCCTCCTGGAAAAGCCATAGATACTTAACCAGAGTCATTTACCTTTTGAACTTGCTTCCCCTCAACTCTGTTCACCCCCTCCCACTGTTCAATATCATTTTCTAACTTAACTGCTATTAAAGTTCACTCTTGACTGGTAAAAATGTTCCTGATGTCAGTAACAAATGCACCTACCTTTCGTGCATGTAGTCAACTCCCAGTAACAGCTGGATAAACCATTCTAGTATTTGACTTTCAGGAAAGGTTTTCCCAGCTTCCTTATATTCCTGAATTTTACAGTCAAGATCTCGACCCTGAAAATGAAACAGAACAACTCTTCATGTGGCTTTCAGTTAAAAATGCAGCATCATTCAACTAGAAAAAAAGGATTTACATCAAGCTCTCTCAATAGCAGCTCATACAGAAGTCACTGTTTACTTAAGAGGTAGTGTTTACTCCTGGTAATGATCCCAGGCAGGATATGCAGTCTCTCTTCTCCACCATTACTCCAAAAGAAAGTACCTCTATTCGAGGTCCGGAGACTTCATTCAGTGGATAAGGTGCATGCCTTGCAGAAGGCCGAGTGGGTTTGACAATCTAGCACTGATACCCACCACCCCATATGGTCCCGCAAGCCCCACGACGAGTGACCCCTGAGCTCAGAGCCAGGAGTAAGCTCTGAGCCAGGTGTGCCCACCAGGTGTGGCCCCCAAACCAAAAAAAAAAAAAGTAAAAAAAGTAAAGTTAATTTTTCCCAGCTCATACCTGGAGCCTGGAGTAACTGTTTTCTGGGTTCTGAGAGGGTGTGGTCAGCAAGCTGGATAGGTCCCAGAGAACAGCCCTCTCCCCATGTCTTTGCACCTTTAATTTCTATGACTCTACTCAGACCCCCAGATTGGCTCCCATCCTGTCCCTTTCTCATTCTCCTTCTAACACTCAATCATCTCTGTCCCTATCAGCTTGGTTCTTCCTGAGGTGAACAGTCACTGGATAAAATCTGTTTATGTAACGTCCCAGCCATGCTTATTGTTAACTCAATACAGACGCCTTCCAAAAGGGGTTCAATTTTTATATTACCTAAAACCTTGTTTTTGTTATATTATATCACACATTTCTATGTTCCTACATAAATCAGGAGTAACTTTCAATACATGTGTTAAGAGGTTCATGTAACTATAGAACCCAAGTAGATCACTGTCACACTGTCACTGTCCTCCCATTGTTCATTCATTTGCTCGAACAGGCCCAGTAACATTGTGAGACTTGTTATTGTGTTTGGCATATTGAATATGTCACGGGTAGCTTGCCAGGCTTTGCCATGTGGGCAGGATACTCTTGGTAGCTTGCCAGGCTCTCCGAGAGGGGCAGAGGAATCAAACTCAGGTCGGCCGTGTCAGCCGTGTACAAGGCAAACGCCCTATTGCTGTGCTATTGCTCCAGCCCAAGTAGATAGAAATTTAAAATATAAAGTCAATCCAATCCAAAGTACTAATATTAGTTGAATATCAAGTGCTGTGTTCCAATGGAACTAAATGACCCTACGATTGCATCTGTGGCCTGGCTGCCGCCCTGCAGACCCCTTTCAGACTGGCATGCCCTTAGGCCTCAGGATGACAATACCCCTTGGTTTTTACTTATTTTACCATTGCAAAGCCTCTAAATGCAGCCATACGGATTTACATGCAGCCCAAAGATAACAATTAGGCCTTGAGTGAGTCTCTCCTCCCATTTACTCGTAATAGGATCAGTAAGAGGACTAAATCAGGACTAAAATATATTCAGGACCCCAAATGACCAATAGCTAAAATTTCCTGTCGTTGTCTGGCATCAGACCCTCTCAGATTATAATCACGTCATTGCATTTCAACTACTTAAAAATGAAAGCACAGAAAGCTAAATTCTGTTCAAGAAGCCCTCTATCTGCTTCCGTTTGCCTTAATACTGAAAACTGAGAGAACACTGTCATAGGGTTCCTCTAAAGAAAAAGGCAGGTTAAATGCTACTCTGCTTGTCCTTTGCAGAATGCCAACAACACAAACCCATGGAGAACAGAGAGTGGCTGCCACTGCTGTAAAGAGCACCGGAGTCAACCACGAAGGCCCTCAGATTATTTGTAATAGAGCCAGGATCTGGATGCAAAGGCAAAGCGATTAGAGGTAATGAAACAATCAAAGAGAAATTACTTCTAATCAAACAATACCAGGTCAACAGACTAACTCATTTGCAATGCATATTTATTTTCTTTCCATGAAATATGCAAATGTTAGCCCAGCAGTTTCTCTCCCTGCACACAGGAAATGACAACTTCGGCCTCACCCAAACTCAATTTCCTGCTGGAAATTTTCTGGACCCAGGAAGACTCAGTGTATTGGAATTCAAAACCACAGCAAAGGGTCAGTGTCAAAGCAACTGTCTTGCAACCACAAGGCCTGGAATTTTATTCTTCCTCATGTGCTGAGCACAATTCCAGCAGCTCAGCTGTCTGGGACCTCCCAGCCAATACCACATTGTGCCAACTTGGTACAACCTATGCAGTTGGGTGTATTGGAGCACCAAAAACTAAGGTGTGTGACCACTAGTGAGCTTGCAGCTAAGTGTGCGAGTACCACAATTGAAGGGCAATCCCCAATGACACACCACAACTAAATGTGTGTCACCTCTGGTCATCACAAAAGCAGCAGCAAGGAGAAGGGGAAAATAAGTAAATTAAAATAAAGAAGACATGACTCCTGACCGCGTCGCCCATCTCATCCTAAATCCAGGTCAGCTCAGCTGCCAGCTCGCGACCCTGGGACCTCCATCTTTCCCTGCAGGACCCCAGGTGTCTCCCGAGATGCCTAGAGAGAAGCAGTTTTGAGCGTCTGCCCTGCCCTCTTCACTCCTGACCGCGGCGCCCATCTCATCCTAAATCCAGGTCAGCTCAGCTGCAGGCTCGTGACCCTGGGACCTCCATCTTTCCCTGCAGGACCCCAGGTGTCTCCCGAGATGCCTGGAGAGAAGCAGTTTTGAGCGTCTGCCCTGCCCTCTTCACTCCTGACCGCAGCGCCCATCTCATCTCAAACCCAGGGTTCTGTAGAGGCGTGGCCTCATCACAAGTGGGCGTGGCCTCAAGAGTCGGTGTGCCTTAATTTCCGGCGGACTGCAGGTTGTTTTCCCATACTAAGGAACCTAGTCCCCAAGGAATCTAGTTCCCAACCTACTCAGCAATATGAAGAAACAAAGAAAATCCCCAACACAAGGGGAGAACAACGAAAACAATCTAGAACATTCTGTCAATACAGCTCACCTAAGGGAACTCTCTGACATAGAATTCAGATACGAAGTCATGAAGATGTTCAATCAACTCAATGAAACAGTCAGAAAGACAGCCAGTAACACCACAGAAAAAATCAACAAATTACGAGAAGAAATGAGAGCAGAAATGTCATGATTAAAAGATTCCATAGATGAAATGAGAAACTCAGTTTATTCTCTTAAAAATAGAATGACCACAGCTGAAGAGAGAATCAGTGAGCTGGAAGATCAGCTGCACCAAGCCAACACGCAACAACAAACAGTGGCAAGGGACCTCAAAATGGCTCTACAGAGAATCAGAGTCCTAGCAGATGATTCCAAGAGGAACAATATTAGAATCATGGCACTACCTGAAGCTCAGGGAAACAATCTCAATGAAAAAAACACCGTCAAACAAATCATTGCTGAAAACTTCCCAGAGCTGCACAATGCAGCCATTCAGGTTCAAGGAGCCCGAAGGGTGCCAGCTAAAAGAGACCCCAACAAAAACACTCCAAGACATATCATAGTTAGAATGATCGATACTGCCGATAGAGACACAATACTGCAAGCAGCAAGAGCAAAGAAGGAAATCACATACAAAGGAGCACCCCTTAGATTCACAGCAGACCTATCAGAGGAAACCCTACAAGCCCGAAGGCAGTGGCGAGATATAGTAAAAAAACTCACTGAAATGAATGCTTCACCAAGAATACTCTATCCGGCTAAACGCTCCCCCAAAATTGAAGGAACGGTACACTATTTTATAGATAAACAGCAGCTCAGGAACTTCATAGACTCAAAACAAAACCTAAAGCAAGGCCTAAAGGGGCTATTATAAGAAAAGACAAACCCTACAACCACAACACACCCACACAGAAAGATGACACAAAACCCCATAACCATTCTCTCTCTCAATGTCAACGGTCTAAATTCACCAGTTAAGAGACACAGAGTGGCAAAATGGATACAGACAGAACCCAACATTCTGCTGTCTACAAGAAACTCATCTCAACAGCCAGAGCAAACACAGACTCAAAGTCAAAGGATGGAAAACAATCCTGCAAGCACACAACTCCCTCAAAAAAGCTGGGGTGGCCATACTAGTATCCGACAACATTAATGTCACCTTGAAATAGATTAGAAGGGACAGTGAAGGCTATTTTCTCTTCATCAAGGGATACGTACAACAGGAAGAAATCACACTCTTAAATGTATACGCACCTAATGAGGGAACAGCTAAATATTTAAAACAACTGCTAATAGATTTTAAGGAGAACATCACTACCAACACAATAGTACTTGGAGACTTCAACATCGCCTTATCACCTCTGGATAGATCAATAAGAACAAAATCCAGCAAGGAATTATTGGCTTTGAAAGAAGTAATAGAAGAGAAATGGCTTATGGACTTATACAGGGCTTTACACCCCAAAAAGAAAGAATACACATTCTTCGCCAGCGCGCATGGAACATTTTCCAAAATAGACCATGTGCTAGGACACAAAACATACCTCAACAGAATCAGGAAGATAGAAATAGTATCAGCCATCTTTTCAGACCATGATGCACTGAGGATAGAAGTGAATCACACAAAGACACGGAGAACCAAATCAAACACCTGGAAATTAAACAACTCGATGCTGAACAACGAGTGGGTCAGGAACGAAGTCAAGGACGAAATCAAAAGATACCTGGAAACAAATGAGAATGAAGACACAAACTACCAGAACTTATGGGATGCAGCGAAAGCTGTATTAAGGGGAAAATTTATAGCTCTGCAAGCATATCTTAAGTCGATAGAAATGATGCACATAAACAATTTGACCTCACAGCTCAAGACCTTAGAAAAGGATCGACAGAAAGAGCCTAAATCAGGCAGAAGGAAAGAGATCATAAAACTTAGAGCAGAAATCAACGACATGGAAAACAAAGAAACAATCCGAAAGATCAATGAAACCAAGAACTGGCTCTTCGAGAAAATAAATAAGATAGATAAACCACTAGGAACACTCACAAAGAAACAGAGAGAGAGAGCCCT